CCCCCCCACCGCACCAGTGCAACCCAATTCACAGCAATTCATTCCCTCCTCATCCCCCTGCCATCACTGGCACTGCCTGGCCCCTTTTACACCAGACGTTCTAGTCAAAAACCAGACAGCTGGCAATCCAAGCCACTGAGAGATGCAAGTAGAGTTAAGAGCCTGCAGGTTTCTGAAGCATTTAAGCACTTTCATGTAGGTAAGGAGAGACAATATTGAGTACGTACACGCCTGTCAGCTCAGTAAAAGCTGGAGAAAAGTCTGCTCAACCACGTGTCTATTTCGTTACTGTTGATTTTTACCCACCCATTCCTGAGAGTTAATTCTTTTCAGTCTCTCCCTTCATTTCCAGATTCATTTTCACACTGTGCCTTCTGAAACAGGGCCTTGGACAAATTTCCCAAGAAGTATCCTGCGAGGAAGTGTAGTTCTTTCTTTCTTTCTACACACCCGTCTCCTGAGTTTGCTCAACAAACTCAGAGCTCCCACGCAGACAGGCATATGGCCGAATGCCAAAATCAGCCTACGAATGGTCTGCACATCATTCATTCTTATTAATACACACAAAATCTGCATACTTATACATATGATCAAAACCCTTTTTTGTGCAGAACCCACTGCAGCCACACCAGGGCCTAATTTAAGATAAGAAACAAGTGGGTATTGCATACAAATGAAAAGAACATGGGGGGAAACTCACAATTAATAATGACTATTTGATCTGAGGAAGTGGGTCTGGCCCACGAAAGCTCATCATCTAATAAACCATCTTGTAAGTCTTTAAAGTGCTACATTGTCCTGCATTTTGCTTCAATTAAATTATAGTTATCTTTCTCCAAAGTCAAAGAGCCCAGATCTTCAACCCAGTTACAATGAAAGGCAACAGAGTTAACCCTGATTTACACCAGCCTAACAAGGATCAGACTCTGACCCAAGACACCCACTGCTGACAAGTTCATTAAGCAGACATTTGACACACCCAAGTCACAACTTGACAGTTGAATTTTTCCATTTCCTCACATCTAATCTGTATTTTAGGCAGTAGGAAGAGCCTACTCTGTATACACCCAGACAGGAAAAGCAGTAACTGCTTAGTCAGCAGTGTCCCTGAGAACACTTGCTATTTCTCTGAAAGGACGCAACAGGAGGGTTCATGATGTTCGGCCATTCAGCTTTACTAGTATTTTACAGGAAGCGCAGAGTTATTGCCCAATCTCCCGAACGGCTCACTGTTTACACAGGGACTGACCTTCGCATCACGCTGCCAAGGAATGCTCCCAAGCAGGCAGAGCGCTGGCTGCTTCCAGTCGATTACTGCTTGGGAGAATATAAAATTGCTTTGACCAAGGCAGTACTGCTCTTTCCTGAATCAAATACAGTAACGGCCTCGCCTCCCTCCCAACACACTAACCCAGCTCCTCAGGGAAATTCTGTAGGACACAACCTCGGATGCAAAACTCACAATTATTTTACATGTCCCTTTACCCCCCTCCAGCTTCCTTTTATCATCAGGTCTCTCCTACCACAGCCATCCGCTCTCTCACCACATGTGAGGCAGGAAGGGAGCCTCCCTCCCCTGCTGCAGGGGGAATCTGCCTCGCCCCCCAGATGTGAGAAAGGGGGGGGAAGGGGCAGCTCTCCTGTTGGCTTAGAAGCAAAATTGCCCCCCCCCCAGCACTCACTCTGCCAGAGTCCATAGGCAAAGGCCAGAAGGACTTTCCCGCCCCTCCCCACAAGACACAGCAAGGTGGTGATCTCAGAGTTGCTGAGAACCCCACTGTGCTGCCCCTGTGCCCATCAGGGCCACTGCTTTCCCAGAAGGGGCTGCACCACAGGGGCTCAGCTGCATACCCAGGCAGCTTATTCCCTCCCTGCAGGAACAGGCCTGGCTTCCCAGCTCTCCATGAACGGCAGCGTCACCACGCTGCTCCTGAGAGCACAGCAGCTCCCACCTCCCCAGAGGGAAAGCTTGGCACCCGCCCAAGTCTTCGCTACCCTGCCGAAAGCCAAGAATTAAACAGAATTGCCAGAGAACTTCCTAGCAAAGACTCTCCTTTGGTAATGGGACATGGACCCTTCATTTCGGATCTGTAACTAGGCTGTTACCAAGAATCATTCAAAGGCCCAAACAGCTGCTAGACCGGGGCGGGCAATAGGGAGGACTTGCCAGGACTAGCCCCTGGAGGGCCCCCAGCGCATTTATTCACCTGCATGTCCACAGTAAGGCCACCTGCAGCTCGTGGCCAATGGGAATTGCAAGAAGCAGTGCGGCCCAGGACACCGCTTCCTTCAGCTCCTAGTGGCCAATGGGGGCTGCAAGCGGCCAGACCTGCAGATCGGCAGATTAATAAATGTGCTGGCAGCCCTCAAAGGGCAAACCTTGGTGAACCATGTCCGGCCCGCGGGATGCTTAGTGACTGCCCACCCTGCACCAGACGGAGAAGTGAGGTAGTAACTCAGGCCAGTTCTTAGGCTATGTCTACACTGCACGTTTTTTGTGGAAGAGGATATGCAAATGGCGTGCTCACTTGCATAGCTTCGATTCTTTTTGCAGAAGAGGTTTTGCCGCTAAAAAGCCCCATGTAGACGTGGTCACTTGCGGGGGAAAAAAAACAGGAATAAGGGATCTTGCGAAAAAAGGTTTTTTTTTCCCCCGCAAGTGACCACGTCTACATGGGGCTTTTTAGCGGCAAAACCTCTTCTGCAAAAAGAATTGGAAGATATGCAAATGAGCACACCATTTGCATATCCTCAACCGCAAAAAACCCGCAGTGTAGACATAGCCTTAGCAGGCAGAAGACACTCTCTTACTGACCCAAAAAACACACATCACGTGGCACCTCAGCCAAGTCCCATGGAGTGAGAAAGCCATAAAGATGATCCTCCCAGAATGCGATGGAGGCCCCGGACAGGGCTGTTCTGCGGCAAAGGGAGTTCAGTCTTCACTGCCTTCAAACCAGCACTTGCCCAAGCTTTAGACTCCTGCAAGCAGAGCAGCTGCTCCTCTCCTTTTATTGCCTGAAAGGCCCATGCACGCAACGCATTCTCTTACACTCCACGCAGCAAACAACCCATGTGAAACAAGAGTTCCTAGTTTGAGGGGAAGGAGGAGAGTGGGCCGTACCGGATTAGCGCAGGGAGAAAGGCAGGCAGAGGAAAGAAGTGGTTGGGAGTCAGAAAAGCTACTTTACCACCCCCTTAAATCAAGTTTGCATCATTGGGAGTGGAGCAGTGGATGGGTCTTTCAAAAACCAGTTTTCAGGAAAATAATGTTGGTTGGCATTAATTACATGCCCACCCTTTAATTCTCTACTGCCTGCAGCCCTTCCATGGTTTTGCCTGAGATCAGCATGAACTTAACGGGCCTATAGTTACCCAGGTCATTTCATTTATCCTTTTCAATTAAAAAAAACCAAACAAACAAAAAACCACACCACAGCATTAATTTTTTCCGGACCTCAGATTTCTCAAGGATTCTCATATTTGTTAAATATCATCTTCAACAGCTCAGAGAGTTCCTCAGCCAGTTCCTGTAACGTGCACCCAGGAGTGTTATCTGGTGCTGAAGATAAAAAATGTTTAACTTCAAATTTAGCAGTTGTTGTTTACCATCCCCTCTGGTAACGGACGGAGATAAAGCAAAGACCGCAGCAACTCCGCTGGGGGCACACCATGAAAGGATGTTGGTGGGGCCCTCCCAAAATGAAGTTCTTAGAGAGTCAGTGATTGGAAACCATTGGGCCAGCCAGAGGAAAACCTCTAATTTCCACACTGAAGTTACTATTAAAGAACTGGACTCAAAACAGGCTTCTGCACAGGTTCCTCACTCCTCATCTCTTTCTTATCCAGGAGGTTTGAAAAGCTGACAGAAGTACAGAAATCCAGGTTAGCTTCAGTTTATGCCAAAAGCTTATCAGAGGCCCCCTTTCAAGCTTCCAATTTTTAAAGCTCAGAACTGGAAACCTAATTAAGCATGAATCATCAACAAAATACTAGTTTAAGGGCATTGAGAGGATTTTTAATAAGGTTCTAAAAGCTCCTGTTACATGCTTATTTGAGAAATCTTCTAGTATGGAACGTAGCACTGCAACCACGAAAACTGCTCAGACCTACGGACCCTTCTTTAATCTGGGCAAAGTATGTGCTTACTATTATACAACTCATCATTAAAATGATCTCAACTAAGATACTGCTGGCACACAGCGATGCCTACATGGAATAGAAACAATGCAACTTGTCAGCTACATCTTTATTCTTACGATGTGCAGGCCATTCCATACACACGTTTTAAGAAAAGGACCACTGCAGAAGACAATTAGGGAAACACT